TTGAAAAAGACTAATTTGCAGATGATAGTCCCAAAGCATGTGGCATTACTGAGAAAGTAATGGAATTCATTGCCTTAGACGACCAGCCGTTTTCTGTCATGGAGGACATTGGATTTCTTGGCTCATACAACATATTGAACCGTGTTATACACTGCCAAGCAGATGCTATTTTGCAGAAACATGTCTACCTGAAATGTATGACTGAGTTGCAAAACACATTCACGAGCTCATTACCACGGGCATAACAAGTCTAAGTTTTACCACAGACATTTGGAACTCAGACGTTAGACCAACTAGCATGCTTAGCTTAACAGCTGTTAGGTAATTTCTTAGTCAGGTAGATATTGATTAGAGATCTGTTGTATTAGCAAATGTTTAGTGGAGACAGGCTGTCTATGCTCAGGCTGTTAAATGCTTAGTTCATTGTCATGAGCTTGATGCAAAATTAAAGACTGTGTTCCGTTTTGTGATGTGGCTCAGTATTTATCAGAAAAACATTGCCCCCTACTGCTACTAGTGGTCAGAAACTCCACAGGACATCTTTTGTTAGTCAATTATTCAGAAATCCAAATGCACAAATGGGTGTGTGACTGCACTCTGTGCTTCTCCAATCGCAGGTGGAGCAGTTGGATAAACTGGAACAGTACTCGACGCCAGCAAGAGAGGATGTCATATCAGATAATGAAGAGCTCGGCCAGCTGTCCCAGAAGTTCTATCAGGCTGCTGTGCAGGTATGTGTGAGAGAGAAAGAGAGGCATTAGAGCACGGGTGCCCAAAGTGGGGCCCGCGGAACATTTGATTTGGCCTGCGGGGACATTTCTTGGCCCCCCACAATTTATTATGCCACCCCAGTTGTCAGGTCAAGCAGCTCCCAGCTCAGTTCGCAACCCGCCAATAAAACAAGGAGGAGCAGAAGAAGAACAACAACAACAACAACACGAAGAACGGAGCAGTAGCAAGCAACATGGAGAGCAGTAGACAGTGGCACACAGACAAAAGGCATTTTAAACGAACCTGGGAGGAAGAAT